GAGACCAGCCTGGGCTACAAAGTGAGCTCAAGGCCAGCCTGAACTGCATAGCGAGACCCTGTCTCAAAAAGACAAAAAAGAAAGAAAGGGGGAAAAGTTTACTTAGCTTCAGTTGGTAGAGGTTTCAGTCCATTATCAGCTGGGTCCAAGCCAGGGTGGCTTGGCAGAGGGGAGTCGCAGAGGAGAGCAGTTCATGGCGGCAGAAGGCAGCAAAAGCAAGCAAGCAAGCGGGGGAAAAGCCTCTTTCTGTCCCTTGTAGTGTATCCAGTGTACCAGGATTAGGGCATTTCCCTGATCTAGCAATCACCCACCTTAATCCCAGCACTGCACCACAAATCACATACTCTAGATTCAGCCGCCTTTGAAAAAAAAACCCTATGACTGCGGAGGCTTTGGGAGGACATCTAGACACAAACCACAATAGTAAATTTCTGTAGAAAAAATGTAAAGGAACCAGATCTGTGCTCAGTGAGCAAGCCGACCACACTTACAGGCTGAGGGGGCCACACCTGGCCCAGGGCAGATGCAGGCAGGAGCAGGTCCAGGCGGAGCTGCACAAGACAGCCGCATCCCCAGGATCCAGTTGCCTTCCAAAAACACCCACCTCTGAACACATGAGATTTGGGGAAGATATTGTAAATTTAACCTATAATGCCTAGCATGTACGAGGCTCTGGGTTCAGTCCTCAGTACTGAAAAATAAAACAAACTGCAGGCAGACTCAAGGAAACATCAAATTTAAAAGGGAGCTAGGTGCTGGGTATGGTGGGACACGCCTGTAATCCCAGCACTCAGAAGGCTGAGGCAGGAGAATTGCTGTAAGTTCAAAGCCAGCATGGGCTAAATAGTGTGTTCACAGCTAGCCTGGAACACATAGCGAGACCATGTCTAAATAGAAAATAAATAAATAAATAAATTAAAAGGAGCTAGTATTGGGGCTTGAAGTATAGCTCAGTGGTAGAACATTTGACTAGCATACATGAGACCCTGAGTCCCTTCCCCAGCACCACAAAAAGTAAATAAATAAAAATTTTAGGCTAGGCGTGGTGGCACATGCCTGTAGTGCCAGCACTTGGGAGGCTGAGGCAGGAGGATCATTGTGAGTTTGAGAGCAGCCTGAGGTACAAAGTGAGCTCAAGCCCAGCCTTCACTGCATAGCGAGACCCTGTCTCAAAAGACAAAAAAAAAAAAAAAGTATTATTTTAAAATATCTGATAAGGAAAGATTTTTAACATAGTAGTAATTGTCAGTGCAGTAGTATGTGTGGATGGGCGTTTGCAGTCTTTCTAGAAACTTCTTTGCCATTACTGATCATGAACTGCACAAATTTTCTTTTTCCTCTAACTAGCAATGACTTTTTCAGCAATTATTTCTAAGAAAATAAGTTGATACACAGACATGGTTTATATACAAAAATATTTATCATTGGGTTTAACATACCAGAAAAAAAAACTCTCCAAACACCCAACAATTTAAATAAATTCTGGTACATCATATTAGTTAAAATTATGAAGAGTTTTTGGTTTTGATTTTGGTTCTGACTTTTTTGTTTTTGTTGTTTTTGAGGCAGGGTCTTGCTATGTAGTCCAGGCTGGCATCAAAGTCACAGCAATCCTCCTGCCTCAGCCTCCTGAGTGTAGGGATTACAGGTGTATGCTACTACACCTGGTTTGATATTTTCTTAATAATTTCATGAAACAGGGACTTGAAAGAGAAAAGAAATATGCTAACATGGTAACAGTGATTATCTCAAAGTATGAGTGATTTTTAAAAATTTTCTCCTGGCTGTTTTACATTTTAAAAATTATCTCTAATTCTTTATACCGAGCAGGTTTTCTTTGGTAATCAAAGGGAAAGGCACATCATCTTTGAGGCAGGGTCTCACTGTGTAGTTCAGGCTGGCCTTAAACTCCCTATGTAGTCCAGGCTGGCCTCAAACTCGAAGCAGTCCTCCTGTTTCAGCCTCCCGAATGCTGGGATTACAGGTGTGTACTACTCTGCCTGGCTTGATATTTTCTTAATTATCATTTTCTTAATTATTAGTTATATATATTTTGAGTGTTGGGAATTGAGTCAAGAGATTCCCACATGCTAAGCAAGCACTCTGCTGAGGCAGGAGACAGACAGGATAGGAGACATCCTGGCTTTATACTGACAGTGGACAGGATGTCTGCTGACTCCTGGAGACCAAAAGATTACCACAGGTCCTTAACATCCTGACACCAGCCTTAAAAAGATGCTCCTGGCCTTATCATGCTTCCATGACCTCTGGCTCAAGCCCAAGGAGCATGCGTTCTAATTGCTTCCAAGTACCTCCTGATCATTATAATATCATTAGCATTGTGGTTTTTTGTTTTGTGTTTTTTTGTCTTTTTGAGACAAGACCTCACTATGTAGTTCAGGCTGGCCTTGAGCTGGCTTTGTAGTCCAGACTGGTCTTGAACTCGCAAGGATCCTCCTGCCTCAGCCTCCCAAGTGCTGGAATTACAGGCGTGCGCCACCATGCCCGGGGTTGTTGTGGTTTTGCCGCTCTCCCAGGGCTTTGGCAGCCACACTGGCTCCATCTACACTCCTATAAAGTCAAAAACACCCTCTTCCAATGTGAGGGTGGAGACTTTCAATCAATTGGGCACAGTTCCCTTGGGTGCCACACGAGACCCACAGTCCACAAAAGGTTTGAATAAATATCTCAAAACCTAAAGCAGACGAGGCCCCTCAGAGCTCAACTCCTTTTGAGTTTTCTCACCAGCTCACTCCCGCCCTGTGGAGTGTACTTTCCTTCAACAAATCTCTGTCTTTCTTATTACTTCTGTGTCCTGCTCAATTCTTTGTTCAGCATACAAAAAAGCCTGGACATCTAGTGAGACTCACCAATGGTATGCTGACACCTACCCCTGAGCTACAGCCCCACCCCGTAATTTTTAGGGGTTTTTGGTTTTTGTTTTTGTTTTTTAGGCAAGGTCCTATTATGTAGCCTTGAACTTGTTTATGTAACTTAAGCTGGTCTCTTAACTCACAGTCATCCTCCTGCCTCAGCCTCCCAAGTGCGTGGATTATAGGTGTGTGCCACCCCACTTGACTCCACCTCATACTTTTTTTCCCCATCTCATAATTTTTATTTGTTTGGGTTTTTTTTGTTTGTTTTTGTTTTTCTTCCAGTACCAGGAATCGAACTCAGGACCTTGCGATTGCCAAGCAAGTGCTGTGCTGCTGAGCTAAATCCCCAGCACCCCCATCTAATAATTTTTAAAAACAATAAGAATTCCGGTAGGCAGTGTCCTGGCCCCAGAGCAACCTCTCTTCCAGTCTGGAGCTGGGGAGATGACAGTGATCCCCAAGGCCTGATGGATGATGGAAAGACCCAGAAGAAGGAAGCCTGGCCCAGAGAACTTTCCAGAGCTCCACCAGGTTACCTTCCTTGGAGCTTTTCCCATTGGCACACAGCTGGCAAAACCAATGAGCCAAAGCCAGGTGTGGTGGCGCATGCCTGTAATCCCAGCACTCAAGAGGCTGAGGCAGGAGGATTGCTTAGAGTTCAAGGTCAGCCTGGACTACAAAGTGAGTTGGAGGCCAGCCTAAACTGCATAATGAGACCCTGTCTCAAAAAGACACACACACACACACACACACACACACACACACACACAAAGTAAGGATAAAAACTTGGATAACACGGTTAGAATATTAAAAAGAATTCTAAAAATGGAAACTGCTAAATATAAACAGGAAATTGGACGAGATAGGCAGGTGATTAAAACAAGAACATAGAGCAGGTGTGGTGGTGCAAACCTGTTATCTCAGCACTCTGGGAGGCTGAGACAGGAGGATCAGAGTGTGAGTCCAGCTCAGGCAATTAGTAACTTAATGAGACCTTGTCTCAAAAAAAGAAAAAGGAAAGGTCTGGGTTTATGTGAAGGCCATGGGTTCAATCCTCAGTACTAAAGAAAAGAAAAAAGATAAACTTTCCATTTGCCTTTAAATAGAGTCAAAGAAGATCTTTCCAAGGACGCAAGCCGGAAGAGTGAGGAAATTTCTCTTCAGCAGCTGGGGGCTTCTCCCCTCAAAGAAACCATCTAAGCTGCCCAGAGCCTAGTGCCAGCCGGGTCCTCCGTGGTCCAGAGTGCGGCCGCGGCTTCTCCCGGGGTCTGGAGTGGGTGGAGGGACAGCCGGGACTTGGCCCACAGCCCGGACCAGCACAGGACTCCTCGTCTAGGCGGGAGCGCCGCCCCAGGCCCGGGCTGGGCAGAAGGAAGCCCCGCTGTCTGCATTCACAAAGGAGGTGGCACCTTCGAGGCCAAGCAGCGAAAGTCCTGCTTTCCTCCCCTCCAACTCTGCTCCGGAACCCCCATTTCCTTTGCTTCTGCAGGACAGCGCTGTGTCTTTTCGGTGCAGGGTGACACCTCTGCCACAGGCTGTCCTTGGAACAGTCCCCCTTGACTTGAGGAACTTCAGGACTCATTCTGTTCTACCCATTTGGAAAAAATAAAAACTGCTTGACGAGTGTGTGTGCGTGCGCGCGCGCGCGTTTCCTCCTCTCTGGGCAATGTCTCCCCAAGAGGATCCTGCGGATGTTTTCCTTTATTTTTTTGGTGGTGGTGGTGATATAGGGGAAAGACACTCCCAACCTGCTAGATGTCCAGTACAGGGTCAAAGAATGAATTCTAGGAACAACAGAGGTTAAGAGCAGAATAGGTCTATTGGGAAAGCAAGCTTCTCTCAGAGAGGCGGAAGGGGCCCGAGTGGGTTGCTGAGGTCCCTGACTTTTCCAGGGAATCTTCTAGAGCAAATCCACGAGGTGAAGTGGGTTCAAGGTGGAAAAAATGGGACATGGCAAGGTGGGTGTGAGGTGGGACAAAACTATGGTCAACCAATAAGAGTATGAGCTAATTGCTCAGGTAAAATTAACTAAATCGGGATCAAATGGGGAAACAAGTCACGTAGCAAGCAGGCAGGAAACAGAACGGGGGCTTTTCTTGGCGAGGGGCGGTGACCGATATTCACACAGTGAACACTGGTCAGCAGCACTTCCTGGCTTCCTCTCCATGATCCAAACCTATTTAGAATACTGTAGCAACCCCTGATGTTCATCCTTAAGAAGTATGTGGATGCTTTCCTTTTGTCTTTTGTCCTGAGGTCTGGTCCTCAGCAGAGGGGCCTGCCTCCCCCATAGGTGCAAGGTATCTCGTTGGGTTTTTTTGTTTGTTTTTTCCCCACTGGCTCCTTTGAGGGCCTAGCTCCATCTGACCGCCTATAACACTTTTATCTAATTTAGCTATCTATAACAGTGGTACTAGGGATTAACCCAGGGCCTTTGCACTGAGCTACAGCCTCAGAGCCCTTTGGTTTGGTTTGGTTTGGTTTGGTTTGGTTTTGTGTGACCCGTTCTGGCTAAATTGCCCAGTTTGGGCTGAAACTTGCTATCCTGTCTCAGCCCCCAGAGCACCAGGGTTATAGGCGTGCATCACCACGCCCTACTTTCTGCCTAGGATCCACTTCCGGGGGCTGTGCAGATGGTACAATAAATAGCTGGTGAATAAATGATGAAAGCAGATTGTGGCACTGGACACTGACCTATGCTGTCCTTTGTGTTCCCACCCTAGGGCTTTGTGGAGGGGGATCTGGCTTGGTTCCCCTAACGTCTCCCGGGGAAAAAATCCCTAGCACGGCACAGCGCCCGTCTGCCCTCCAACCCATTCCCAACCCCGGCGCTGGAAGTGTGCCTGCAGCCCCGACCCTGCCTTCCCCTGGAATGCAGAACAGCTTCACAGGGGATTTCAGTCTTGGTCCACTGCCTGGTCTTTGCCAAATTTTCTGGTCTTTTCATTTCTTCCTGGAGTTGCCATACACGCTCCATAAATGAAATCACTGCCTAGTTCCCAGCAGCCCAAGGAGACCAACAGGAAAAAGAAGCTGGAGAATGTCACAGTGTGGCCAGGAACCGTGACAGCCTGCCATTTCGCCCAGAGGGGTCAGACTGCAGCTGCAACCTTAGAACAGAGCTCTCATACAGCTCCTCCAGGAAGCCCCGGGACACTGCCGTTGAGCTGATGGATTTCACCACTTGCTGAACATGTCAGAGACGTCTGTGAACAGTCTACAGCCTTCCTCGTGCTCTTTGCTTGGTACTGATCTCCCCGGGGCTCCTCCAAGGCAGGGCTAAGTCATCTTTGCTTGACTGTGTCCTGCACATAGTAGGTGCTCAGTTCATGGTGCAGTAGCGATGAGTCATGAAGAGAGGAATAATCTATAGCTGCCAAATACTGAGGGAGGAGGCAGAAAAACTAGGTAGGGACTTGGGTATATGCATGTGAATTTAGATGTGTTTTAGAAACAAATCTGGCCGGGTGTGGTGGTACACTCCTGTAATCCCAGCACTCAGGTGGCTGAGGCAGGACGATCCCTGTGAGTTGGAGGCCAACCTGGGCTACAAAGTGAGCTCAAGGCCAGCCTGAACTGTGTAGTAAAACCCTGTCTCAAAAAGACAAAAACTAAAAAAAATTAAACAAAAACTCTGTTAGACCAAGTGCAGTGGTGCACTTGGGAGGCTGAGGCAGGAGACTCACCATTAGTTCAAGGCTAGCCTGGGGTACATAGTGAGACCCTGTCTCAACAAGTCAAAAGAAACAGACAAATCTGTGAAGCCAGTTATGCTGATGCATTCTTATATACCACTTAAGGCTGAGGCAGGAAGATCACAAGTTCAAGGCCAGCCTGAGGTACATAGCAAGTTCAAAGCCAGCCTGAACTATATAGTGAGACTTTTCTTCCTTTCTTTCTTTCTTTCTTTCTCTCTCTCTTTCTTTCTTTCTTTCTTTCTTTCTTTCTTTCTTTCTTTCTTTCTTTCCATCTTTTTTGAGACAGGGTCTCACTATGCAATTCAGGCTGGCCTTGAGCTCATTTTGTAGCCCAGGCTGGTCTCAAACTTGCAATGATCTTCCTGCCCCAGCCTCCCAAGTGCTGGGATTACAAGCAAGACCTTGTTTCAAAAAACAAAACAAAACAAAATCTGTCATAAACACCATTTTATCTTTATTTCTGAGGAAATTTAGAAGAGTAATTCTCAATCCTGGAATCACCTATGGCACTAAATAATCCTCCAGCCTCAGCCTCCTGATTGCTGGGACTGAAATAGGATCGAAGAAACAAAGATAGGAAGGCAACAGGGTAAAACCGCTGCTTCAAGACAGCAGCAAAGGAACTATCACAAAGAATCAGCAACTGGGATCTCATCGTATTAAAAAGCTTTTGCACAGCAAGAGAAACCACCAATAGAGTAAAGAGACAACCTACAATGTGGGAAAAAGTATTTGCCAAATGTATAGGTAACTGGAGACTTGTGTAGGTAAATGGATGCAACTGGAGACCGTACTCATAAGTGAAATAAATCAGATGCAAATATGTAAACATTGTATTATCTCCCTAGTGTGAGAAGCTGAAAGAGTCAATGTGATCCAAAATGTACAATAGATATTGTAAAAAGGGAAGAAACTTCAAAAGGAAAGAGAAACTGGTTTAGGGGAAGGGAAAAAAGAAGGAAGGGAAAAGCAAAAGGAAAAAAATATATCTATACATACCAAAGATAGTAAAGATGGTTATGCTGCTGATTTCTCGCAGTTCATTGAAGGGCTAGGTTTGTATTAATATTGTTTGGACAATTAAATGCTGATATCTTATACTCTAAGTAACGGATTGCAGATAATAATACACAATGTGTTGACCATTGTTACCCTCCTATCATGTTGTTTTGGAATTTTTTTTTTGTTTTTATGTTTTTGTTTCTTTTTCTTAAAAAAAAAAAAAAAAGATACCATCAAAGTGCCTTTTACTCCCTTTGCCTGTTTTTCTTCCAGTCCCCTCATTCTTAGATTCCTAAGCGTTGTAAAGATACCGAAGTCCATAAATTTCAAAAGTTACATCAAAGACTTTCATTCCAGACAACAGGATACTATTAAGTGGCACTGTATCTCTAAAAGTGGTTTGTGTTTTAACCTAATCGATAGGGTCAGGGGCTGGAGATTTAGCTCAGCGGCACAGCGCCTGACTGGCAAGCTCAAGGTCGTGAGTTCGATTCCCAGTACCAAAAAAAAAAAAAAAAAAAGATAGGGTCAGCTTTTGCTATGGCCCACTAATGGGCCACCTGACCTTAAGGAAACAGACACCAGGTAAATGATAAGTAGCTCAAAGAATAAGCACCCTATCACCAATCTTAAGGATGCCCCAAGACCACGTAAATACCTGCAACCCCAGGCCACAGTACACCTCAGCCCTGAGAACCACACTGCTTCCCTAGAGAGTGAACTTTGATTCTGCCTAAGAAATCTCCCTGTGGTTCTCACAGATGTGCCCGGAAATGCTTTTCTGTTAAGGACCTGCCTGGAGACCTAGAGAGTTTGAGGCCAGAGCCTGGACTACACAGCCTGGGCTACATAGTCAGACTGTCTCAAAAACATACAAACAAAAACCAGTAAAACAGAGAGACTGACGGTGCGGTCTCTGGAGAGAGTTAGAGGTGAGCTCCGGTTCTGACTACCTGATCTCCACTAAGTCATTTAGCCTCAGTTTCCCCGGTGGGAAAATAGATTTAATAATGTTATTGAGTGCAACTCAAATTTAGACTCATAATATTTTGGGGATTTGGGAGAGACATAGGGCTCATGGCTGCAGGGCAGGAAGCCAGTTTGGGCTGTTCCCACTCCACTGACTTTGCCCGCACCTCTGGTTCTTTCCTTTTTTCTTCTTTTGTTTTTTGAAACAGGGTCTTGCTACGTAGTCCAGGCTGGCCTTGAACCCACTATGTAGCCCAAGCTGGCTGAACTCACAATGATCGTCCTGTCTCAGCCTCCCTAGTGCTGGGATTACTGGAGTGGGCCACCAGTCTGGCTCTTTTCAACATCCCGATGGCTGCATCTTCATTCATCTCATCCTCACCGTCACCTTGACGTCTTCCAACATCCTGCCACAGGATGTCATACCTGTCTGACAGAGCAGGATACCAACCTGCAGGGCTAGAGATCCGTTCAAGGTCACAAAGGGTGCAAAGCCAGTTTGAGGCCCCAAGGTGCGAATCTGTGGCCCATCTGGGTGGGAATCTCTGCCAGCCCGAGGCCTCTGACCTTTAGACCCTCTCCCCTTCCCGTGGGCGCCAGGTTGAGAGCCCTGCACGGGTCCGGTGTGTGGTAGAGAGTGAAAGACATCCATCCAAGAAAGAGACACGAAAGAAAAATTCAACAGGGAGCCGGGGAGGTGGGGTGGTGAAGGAGAGGCCGGAGGGGCGCCCTAAGAGAAAGCTGCCGAGCTGAAGCCCAAAAGAGTGGCGCAAGCTCCAGCAGGGAGAGCACCCCAGGCCCGGCACAGGAGGGGGAACCTGCGGGAGGGGACCTGGGCCGCCCCCTGGGCCAGGCTGAGCGGCTTCTGAGAGAGAGGAACCCAGGCAAGGGGCCTCCAAGGGTGCCGCGGACCAGAGCACATCTTCACTTCTGGACTCCACCCAGC